CTCTGCAGGAGAGGGGCCCTGTCTGGATCAGCCGGGTGCAGGCCTTGATCAAGGATAAGGTTCTATAAATCACACAACCTCAATGGGTAAAGAGTGTGATGTCTGACCTGGAGTGAGGCAGACAGACAGCAGGTCGAGAAAACTGGACCAAGATGGCAGACAGTGTCAGCAAGACTGAAAGGGTACTCAGCTTGAGACTGTGCAGAGACACCTGGCTATAAATACTGTCTACGCACAGACACCAGCCCTCCAATCAGAAAGCACAAAAGGAACTCCTCACATTCCAAACCTAGCAACAGTCTCCAGGCCAGGCTGTCAGCTGCCAGCTGCCAGCGCTGAGACTGACAGGCCCAGCTGGGAGAGGGGCGGGACTTCCAGAGGAAGCGAACAGATAAACAAGTGAGAGGGAGAAAGACCGACCCTGATGAGGCAGCACACTCACTGACCACAGCCTGAAGATGGAAACTGGACACAGACTGACCGGACTGTCCAGAGAGGAAGACAGAGATGCACTGGGATTAGACATTCTTTCCTAAATTAACAAACCTAATCCTAGAATTCCCACACCTGCCAAAATCAGAACAGCTCCCAATCCTACTGGAGGAGGAAACTGTGGCCTAGAATGTGTTCTCAATAATAATACAGTGATCTATGTAAATGTCAAATATGCTACTACTGTAAAGATGTTAACTGTGTCTGCTTTGGCACTGAAATTCATTGGTTATCCCCATTAAAGCTCTTTGAATTTGAGACAGAGCAGGGAGTGACCAACCAACAGCACCTTTCTGAAATGCTAGATGACAGCTAGGGGAGACACTGAACCCCCAGAGCCTCAGACACAGCTGTTTCCTTATTATTACATAAAGTCATTTAAAATTATTTGTTAATGATGCAAACCCCAAGTTTATTTAAGTCATTTAATCTGGAGGGCTGTAATTCTACTTACTGTGTAATTAACTCATTAAATATGATGTGGGATGATACTGGTGTTTGCAACAGAATGTTTCCTTGAATACTGTCAATTACTGTCAGGCTGCTCAGTGAATGTTCTGTGTAATTATCTTACAGCTTCCCCTACTGCTCTGATCCTATACATTTGAAATCACTTTGGGAAAAAAAGAACATGACAACTCAGATCTGCGACCATTACTCAGACTGGCAAGATTCAGGATCCCACATCCTTCAAATGAGAGGGCAGCACCTCCTCTAGTGACCCACAAACACGCAGAACCGTGGAGGCAGTTTGACCTCTAAGTGTGTGAAATAAAACATGATCCTGGGGGCCTCCAGAAGCAGGCCCATCTCGCTCAGTGGGAGGCGGGATTACTGGTTTCTCCTCCTGCTCATGCCGAGAGCTGCCAAAAGACACAACCATTCGGACAGACAGACCTGCCCACAGACATAGATGCACAGAGACGGGCGATACCAGGCTCAACCAGAGACAGGCACAGACACAGGTGCTCAGAGACACACTGACAGACATGCAGAGACAGATAGACAGGCAGGTTTTGACACGAAAGGTGGTTTATTGGAACTGGTTTTGTGTGTACGAGCAGTTCGACCAACATATACAAGCTTCCCTAGCTGTTCCAGAACTTTAAAACAAAAATAAAACCTATTAAAATAAAAATAAAAATCATTTATTATATATTAACCCCAACAACAGTAGTAATTGCTTGCTTGTGGCACATCACAAAAATCTTGGACAAGTGTAACCTGGAGAATCACAGTGTCTGAAGGAGCAGTGGCTGTGGTGTACAGCACCCCCTACAGACAATAAATATGAGGAAAGAACCGCAGCTCCACGGCTCTAGTTTCTACAGGTCCATACTGTACATCGCTGTGGGAGCGGCCGAGAGACCAGACCTCTGCTGCCTCTCCATCTCGCCACACCACGCCATCAGCATCTGGAAATGTTCTGCTTCTTTTCTCACATACATCTTTTTTGACATGTGATATTTATTATTTTTAATACAATACACAGATGAAAGAAATCTGGCAATCCTGTGTTTTTACATGATCTCTATGAATAAAAATAAATTCATCAGCAACAGTAATAAAATTCCATAACAGTATCAGAGGCGACACCGGGAGAGCTTGTCTTTGAGGAGGAAAGGCAGCAAAACTGTGCTGTGTGATTAACTTGTCATGACTGTGATCCTGCACCCCAGTGCAACGCCCTCAGACCAGGCAACAGGTTCTGTACCAACTGCGCTGGGTGCCCTGCTGCTGTCTGCAGGAATCAGAAACAGCCATCCGCACAGACCTTGTGCTAACAATACAGAACTGACTGGGAACCCACCAGGACGATAAATTCAGGAGATACAAAGCGTGAAGCCCATCAGGCAGCTGTGCCTGCGAGAGCTCTGGAAATCTCTCACAGAGATGATCTGGTCAGTGCCATCCTGCGGACATTCTACAGAAAGGTTTATTACAGCCAAACTCTGCGGACAGTTTTATTTAACGTGCGGCTCAGCCACACCCCTCTGCCTCTCTCAAAGACAAGCGTGGGCCCCCCAGCCCTCAACCCTGCTGCAGATAACGGAGAAAGCCCCCTCACTCCTCCTCGTGCTGCTCAATCATTCATCAACAACACAAAAAACATGGAGAAAACAAAATACCAAAAAATGTATCATATATATTATATCTAACTGCATGTTTGTCACATTCAGAGTCTGTAAAAACTACAATGCCTTATGGAAATCAAACCTCCTCCTCCCCGATACCCCAGTCTGACGGCGCCTCCTGCTGGATGGGGGGAAACCCTGTGTTAAACCCCTCCGGCACAGGGGCTGGAGCCCAGGTCTAAAAATAACCCAGTGGGAGTACAGGGACCCCCAAAATCATCTTCATCATCACTAATCACACAACTGGGGGGTTCCATCTCCCCAGTTGCTAGCCCCGCACTGCTCCTTGTGCACGCAGACAAGACATACAGCAAACTTGCACAATTCTGGTCCATGAAGGGATAGTATTTGAAGGGAAAAAATCAGTCTTCAGCAAATTGGTTGATCTGGTGCTGGGTGAGTGGCCTGTCTGCCTGTGAGGGAGCCGAGGGGAGACAGAATCCAACACATAGTGCTCACACTACCCTCTAGTGGCCCTGAGAGGAGCAGCAGGGTAGTCTTTACAGTGGAAGCCCCATTCACAAGCGCAGAAACACACACCTTTATCGGTGCAGTGTTTCCATTCCTAACCAAGGCTTACTGCTCAGAAACAAACTGATAAAATGTTGTTATGCAGGTTGGTGCTAGACTGAGTAATTCCTAAAGTTGATCCAGGTCCCAGAACTTGAGCCTTTTCGACTCAGTGAACACGAAAGGAAGAGCTCGAAAATCAAGAGGCATGTTCTGACACAGGCAGCTGTGGGCTTTCACGGGCTCTCCTGCCACACACGGAGCCCAGGCAGACTGCCCTCCCCGCCACCGGCCCAGCCTGGAGCCCATCAAAATCACCAGACACCCCCTGACTGCTGCTAAGACGAACAGACAGACACACAGTGACCGATATATACAGATACAGAAGAGATATGTATGTACAGCTCCCCAGCCCTGTCGCTCTCCCTCCCCCAGGGGACGCTGGTCGTCTCTCATCACACAAACACAAAGCAGAAGATAAAGAAGAACAATGTCAATCCAGGGGTGTCGTGCACGATGTCGCTGTTCTGCACTTCTGTCCACAGCCAGCAGCCGATCCACACCCACACCCCGGGGCGCCTGGGCTCCAGGGTGACCCATACACACCTGCTCAAGTAAAACATATTGGCACTTTTGCACATTAATGATGACGGGGCAGGTGGGGTGCAGGAGCAATGTCTCGTCTTCCAGAATTTTGGGGGAAAGCGGCTCCACCCCAAACCCAGAAGCAACCATTCTCCTACTTCAACCTCTGCTCCCATCTTCGCTCCACTCCTCCCAGAGTCTCATCTTTGCACTTACAGAAAACAAAGGTTGTCTCCAAAAATAACTAACTCTCTCTATAACAGTACGACCCTGGACCAAAGAAAATTAATCCATCTTTGGTCCCCTGCCCATCCTAACCCACCCCCAAGCCCAGCTCATGTATGGCACAACTCAGTCAGTCTCTGCGTTGGCATTCCTTACCCACAGAAGACTTGAGCATTGACAACAATTCCCCCTGCCCTCCATGGTACTGTCCACCTCCGCTGGGTTTAAGCAGTGGTGCGGTCCACCTCCACCTCCGCTGGGTTTAAGCAGTGGTGCGGTCCACCTCC